TATTTAATGAAATGGCAATAAAAATCTCTCACAGAACTGGGAAAAATATGCAAGGAAATTCAGGTTTTGATTTAAAATTTCATTTTTTAAAAAGTTGTTTTGCAACAAAAAACCTCTTAAAGTCAAACTAGTTGAAAAATATTTTATTACACTTTTTCATTCAGAAAATGATAATTAATCAGAAATGGAGAGAGGGAAGAGAATAAAGATGTCTGATAAATATGTTAGCTGAAGAAAATAGGATAGGATGTGGATGGAAGAGACTGCAGGAACTCTAAACTGGGATGTCAGATGCCTAAGTCCCTTTGGCTCCTTGGACATTCCTGCTCTAATTAATGTTGGGAACATTCTGTGGATCCAGCAGAGAGCAGAGCAAGGGTGGGTTTGGAGATCAGGCTGCAATCTCCAACATCTATAGTAAGCTCCCTCCTAAAGCTGCTTTGAAAAGCTAAAGCTAAGACTATGCACCCATCTTGCATGTGTATCGGAACGTGTACATTGCCTGCCTGTGTAGCTGGGAGGTTGTCGGTGTTTGCTGCCTATGTTTGTTGCTGTGAGCTGTATCGATGACTTACGTATAATGGTGTTACATGTATGCTCTGCATATGTGCTGTATGCATGCAGGCATCACAGGTGGGGCATTAGCTGCCTGCAGGTACTACCTCTGTGTGGTCATGTGCATTTCAGCTGGGCTGCATCTGTGTGATGGGTGCATGTGTACTCTCTGCCCCATTTCTCTTGTGCCTCATGCATGTTGTGCACCACATTACGTGTCAGCTGTGTGCTGCAGGCACGTGTCACACATTGGTATGCTGCATCACACGTACTGGGCATATGTTGACTTTGGGTGCCATCAGGTGAACGTGAGCTGGCAGTATGTGATGCCAATGCCACATGCCTATGTTGCAAGCATGTCATGTCATATGTCTCATCTGCTTGTCACATGTGGTATGTGAGTTCCATGGACATGGAGTGCTTGTGGAAGAGGCTGTTGCATCCTGTCTCCTTCCTTGCCGTAATGAAAATCCCAACCACACTCCCTTTCATCCCCAGTGTGACTGTGCAGCACCCAATGCGGTCACAGCTGCTTGTTATTTATGGACCTGCCATCTGGCCCTCATTTATTCCCGTTTACAACAGTTTGTATAAAACTTCAGCTGGCCTGAATCATGCTTCCTAGCCCTGCCTGCCGTTGGGCAGGTTTGCACTGCTTGCCCCACCTGTATGTCAGCCATGCCTACACCCATCAGAGGCCTCAGGGCCAGGGATATAGAGGGGAAAATGGGAGACCCGGAGAACCTGCAACAGAACCAGAGAAAGGGGGAGCAGGGAAGAAATGCAGCACTTTGTCCTTCTCATCCCAGGGCCCCCAGGGCCCCAAGCACTGAACAGATAATGAGTTTTACATATGTATACACCCACATTCCTTGGAGGTAAGTTCATATTAACTCCAGAGACACAAGCCCATAGATGTTAAGGGACTTGACCAAGGTCACACAGGGAATCAGTGGCAGAGCCAGGAAAAGAACTCAAGAGTCCTGAATCATAGATCCCTCCTCACCCCTTGGTCACCTGACTGAGTAAGGAGGAAGGAAGAGGCTGATGTGGGGAAACAGGGGTGGCCAGATAGCTGGGAGACTGGATTGGGTGCCTCCCTCAAATGTGAGCTCCATGAGTTGGGGAGGCTGAGAGGCTCCAGCCATGAGTCACCGACAAGCAATGTGCTGCGCAGCTCATGTTTGTTTAGAACGACACAGAACTGGATCATGTCCATTTAAAGAGCATGTGATTGGGGAAGGGGCTGAGATTGCTCCCAAGCTCCTCCAAAGGAAAACAGAGGAGGAGAAGATCCTACCCCCCCCAACATCCCTTCTGTTTCCCCCCCCAGCCCTCCCCTCTCTTAGCACCTTACAAGCGTCTGTGCATTGTTACATCCTGCAATGCTGAACCCAATGCTCAGTTAGCAATGCTAGCATTTCCGCTCCTCCCCATACAAACATACCCCTAGCTACCAGATTCAGGGACCACTCCTCTCCCAAGACTCCAGTTCTGCAGTTAGTGGCAGGCAGACCAATGCCCAGAAGAAGCCGAGTGCTGGTTCTTTAAGCTTTCCCACAACCCCAGTCAAAACCTGACAGGTTGTAGAGCAGAGAGCAGGCAGGGGGTGCGCAGCAGGCCCATGCCCTTGTCTAATGAGGCCTGTCACTGTTTCAGAGTCTCGCCGCAGGACAATCTATGAATACCACCGCGTGGAACTGGACACTGGCAAGATCACCAGCATGTCAGCTGTGGAGTTCTCCCCACTGCCTAGTGAGTGGCCTCTCTGCTTAGTGTCTAAGAGCATGTCTCCCTCTAGTGCTTTTGCCCAGCAGCTACAACAGTGCTCCTTGAAGCAAAAGGGTTACTGTTAGAGGCCTGTGTTTTGAGATATAGGCTAGGGACAGACATTACACACAAACTGGTTTAAGT